AAAGTTTAAACAAATATATTTTAAAACTATCTTTTAGAAAAAGATCAAAAAGTTTTTTTTTTTTTTAAAAAAAAGACTTTTTGATCTAAAAAACTATCCCAAACACCCCTAAGATTAAATTAGATTTATCTGTTCAAAAAATAAACATATTAAATGGATATACAATTAGTATTGCTTCAAAACCATTTTAAGAGATTTTACCGATGATTTTCGACCAATTTAATTAATTGTTTTGATTTGAGTAAATTACACGAATGGTCCTTATGGTTTGGGGTAATTTGCACGTTTGGTCCCTAACTTATTTTTTTAACTCGAATGGTCCCTACGGTTTGTTTTTGTTACGTGCTTGGTCCCTACAGTTTGTTTTTGTTACGCACTTGGTCCCTGTCTTACCTAAAACAATTATTATTTAAATAAGAAAAAATGGTGAGGTAGATAAGGTAAGGTGAGTGGGGTGGGGTTGGGGGTGTGTTTACTTAAATAAATTAAAATATCAAGGGAAAAATAGTATCTTTAGGTAAGACAGGGACTAAGCGCGTAACAAAAACAAACATTAGGGACCTTCCGAGTTAAAAAAATAAGTTAGGAACCAAACACGCAAATTACCCTAAACCATAGGGACCATCCGTGTAATTTACTCTTTTGATTTTAATTCCGCTTGTTGATCTTTAGAGAGAAATATGTGTTTAACGCATTTAGGTTAATTTTTTGTAAACTTATTATATATTATTATAATATAGTGTTTGGTAAAACTAATAAAATAGTTTAGAAGTTAAAAAAAAACTATTAGAGATATAGCTTATTGATGATTGGTTTCTTCCATGGGTTTTTAAAATATATCATTATATATTCATTTCATGTTATATACTCACATGAATTTTAATTATATTTATATTTATCATCTAGTTTTTTGGTTATTTTTTTAATAAATATTGTTATATCAATTACCAACTAACTCGCTTTTAAACTGGTCTGTCATTTGTCAAACACAGGCACACAGCCAAAGTAGCTTGTACCAATTTTATTTTATTTTTTTGACCCGTCTTTTTGTATTTTTATGGTAAAGAGGAACTTACGAAATTTACAATATATAGTAGAAAATAATAATGAACTATATTTAAATGAAAACATGATTGTACATTTGTACATAAGGCGTTATTACTTTTACCATTATCTATTTGACGTTTTCCATAAAAGCATAAATGAATTGATGTAAATAAAATATTATAATACTCCAAATCTCCAATACAATAATTGCAAACAAATGTTACAGTCGTTTGTTCAATTAGATAACTAAAATAGCAAATCTATAGTAAGAATTACATGTCAAAACGTGCTTATTATTATTATTTTTTAAAATACATATTTATTTTAAATATTCTGCTTAGGTCTACCTGTAAACAATCTCTGTTTTTTTAAATCTGCATACATTTAAATAAAATTTGTACAACTTTACATCGTTTTTTTTTTGACCACTTTACATCTATTTGACCTGTTTCTACTTGATATTTGCCGAAAGATCAAATAAACTCAAACCCATATGGAAGAAACAAAAGAGTTGATCCAGATTCTAAAGTTGATATGATTGTTGCAAATATATAAGATTTCTCTATTTGTCATCCAATACACGACTTTTTCTCTTATCAACATAATTGTAACAAAAACTGTTCAATTTAATTTGTCGTATTGTTATTGTATTATGTCAGGGAAAACCTCGACCATGTGTCAAAATCAATACCGAGACCAAGAACAACGAACACTCGATGCCAAAATCGACACATGGTTTGGATGAAATCAAGCATTCACTTACAATATCAAAAGAACTACTCAAACTTCTAACTCACATTTGGACTGTGGACACGAATCATAGCCATCACCACCATCCAACGAGCATTTCCCTGGTTTCAACCCTAAATCATGAGCTCAACAAGGCTCGGTCACACGTGAATAAGCTAATCAAAGAACAAAGATCTATGGACCCACTTTGCGAGTCGAAAGACCAAGACAAGGTTCGCTTAGCTGTCAAGAGCATAGCACACGAATTGGAGACCGAAAGGAAGCTCAGACGACAGACAGAGAGGATGAACAAGAAATTAGGTCGGGAATTAGCGAATACAAAAGCTTCTTTAGGAAAAGCGATAAAAAAAGCCGAAGCGGATAAGCAAGCGGCTGAGATGTTGGAGCAATTATGTGAAAAGATGGCGCGTAGTATTGAAGAAGATAGAGTCGAGCTTGAAGAATTGAAGAGAGAATCGGAAAGAGTGCGTGAAGAAATGGAAGAAGAGAGAGAAATGTTACGTGTTGCGGATATGTTACGTGAAGAAAGAGTCCAAATGAAGCTCATCGACGCAAAGTATGAATATGAAGATAAACATGAACAAGTAAATGTTCTTGTACATGACCTAGAACAATTGTTGGAAGCCGATAATGGCATCGACACTTTAAAATCAACGCCTGAAGTTCTAACATGGTATCAAAGCAAAGTAAACAAGTGTGACGATGAAAACACCACTAGGAGGGGAAAAAAGGGTGAAGGGATAAGTGGCGGAAATACCCTTGTAGAGGGAACTAGGGATTTGTCATGGTATGATAACATCAAGGGTGAAGTAAATGATGAAATAACAAGCACACGCGACGAGGTCATCGGGCGTAACTCAGATTGCATTGAGTGGGAATTTGGATTAGACATGAGAAACGGAAATGGAGACTTGAATGAGTGTTTGGAAGAGACAGTTTTAGGGTTTTCTTGCTCATCTACGATGAAAGAGTATGAAGATGAAATGGAAAGATACAAATTGATCAAAGATTTACGTGATCGTATAGTGTCGTGTTCTGATCTTTCTAGAGATACTCTCGGGTCCGGGTCTTATATATAAGTTGTCTTGTAAATTATATTACATGTAAGCTCATGCATTTGACATGAGAAGATAGCACATCTTTTGAGTATATGAACAACAATACAATTACATACCTCATATAACATCAAAGGGTTTGTAAATAAAATGGAAACAAAACCAAAAACCGGAAAGACTATAAGAAAAACCAAGTTGTTTTGGAAAACCAACAGGTCTCTTTTTGTGTTAAAAGAAAATTTTATTTTTTTAAAACCCAAAAAAATATTAGAGAGTAAATTATACTAATCGTCTCTATCAAAACACACATTTAGTCACAGTTTTTCAAAATTAACTTGGATTGTCCATTGTTTTGTTAAAAGTTGGACATGTCATTATTCGTTACTTTAAATTTGCAAGTTTCATCCCTTATGAGACATAGAATGACTATTCTATATATATATTTTTTATTTCTTTTCTAACAACTATTTACAAAATACAACGTAAAATAAAAACTCTACCCCACCCAGCTTATCATAACCCTTCTTTTTAAACCTTCTTTCCCCTAAATTCTTTGATTGACAAATCATCACCACCGCCAAACCATCACCACCCACCATCGCCGACCACCACCTCTTTTTTCTCACAGAAACACCATCAACGACCCTTCTTCCCTCGTTCTTCTTCCGGTCCTTATGCCACCAACAAATCATATGTTCCCTTCGTTCTTCTTCCTAGTTAGAGCAGAGAAACACAAAACACACACACATGTATTGTGTTGATTCAATGCACACGCACACACACACACACAGAGGTCATCATTGCCACTTGTGTGCTAGGGTTTTGAGATTTACCTGCTAGGGTTTCAACGTTATGCTGGTTTTGGGAGATGAAGTCGTCATCGACACATGTTTGCATCTCCTCCCTCTTCATCTTCTTTGCGGTGTCAGTGATTGTCAATGATGTCAGATTTGCAAGTATCTCTCTAAGAAACCACCTGAATGTTACTATCCCTTTGCCACCATGCATCGTCGTGGCCTAGGGTTTCAAACCAAGCTCCACCATCAGAATCGAAGCCTTACCTTTATCTCTCATTATCTCTTCGAAATATAGCGGGTAGAATAGGTTGTGAAGTGTTGGCGGTAGTGGTGAATGATGGCAGAGATGCTAGCGGTGATAGTTAGTGGTGGGTAATCTGTGAAGAATATGCGGCTATGGTCGAATCTTGTTGTAGAAACAAGAGAAATAGAAGGGGGTGGGGTGGGAGACGGATATTTGTTTATTTTTAATTATCTTTTAATTTAAATCTGATAAAGTAATAAAAGATAAATTATTAATGACAAAATACCAATATTCTAAATAACGTAGGACGTGACTTGACAGCAATGTTAAACCTCAAGTTTTTTCAACCTGTGGCGTACCACATTAAAGACGTTACTTAAGACAACAGTTTTATATATGTATATATATATATATATATATATATATATATATATATATATATATATATATATATATATATATATATATATATATATATATATATATATATATTATTTGACGACATTTTGTTTATAAGCCTTGGAAACACGACACACATAATGAACTTTTTAGAACTTCGAAAAATACTCATTTCAGATAGGAATGAAACGTGTAATTTAAAAGAAAAAAAATAATCATCCGAGTTAATTTTTAAAAATAAAGATTAAATATGCATTTTAACACCTAGAAACATAATATACCAACTTAATACAATGTCAAGTAACTTTCCAAGTTTCGAATGCACCAGTTGTAAGACATAATTTGTAGATCTCTTTGCTATTATTATACAGGGTTATTGTCATACATAGGTAATATTTTTTTTGTTTTTCATATAGAAGACAACATTGCATCAAAATAAGTACCATATGTAAACAAAGATAAACAACTAGAACATTTATTTACAAAATACTATTACATAGCATAAAATAAAGGTATTTTGTAAATAAAAAGTTCCAAATCCTTAGTAACTTACCTTCTATTATAGTTTTTACTTTTTTTTTTTTTTTAATGATAACCTCACAAAATCGTTTATTTTGTGAGGCTAGAAACGATCAGGCAAAAACCAAAGCAAACCATGCTCAAGCCAAGACCCAAGAAAATCAATCATGAAACCCTAAATCTAACCAATCCCATCAACATCAGAAGTTCAATTAATTTATTCAAAGAAAATCAAGGGCAGATCCGCAGGTTGATGAATAATAAATTCATCATGTACAACAAACGCAGCTAAGTATACACAATTCAACATGGCTAGATTCAAGAAAACAAAAGTAGCAATCAAATTACAGAATGTTAAGAAAACATAAATTTTGCAAATGCGACAATTATTTTTGAGAGCCTTCGGTCTTTTCAGATGTGAAAGACACAGGTGTTGCAGCATCATCCTTTACAATCAAGCTAAGAACTTCGGGTCTTGCGTAATGTCCAACCACATCAAAATCAAATTTCGCACGCACAATTTCTCCAAGATCTATACCAAATTTTAAACATTTACATGTCATAATAATAATAAAAATCTTAAATTTGAAGAATTTTTTTTAGCAAGAAAAAAAACAAAGAGATTATTAAGCTCTCTTGTTTAATTTATAGGCTGAATTCTACAAAAAACACTGTAGTTTGGATTTCTTTTCTTTTTTTGTTTAACCACTGAGAATTTTTTCTTTCTAGTTTAACCACCAAGAGTTTGTATTTTTTTTCAAAAAAACCACTCTACGTTTTTTCCATTGGTGAGTTGCAAATAACAAACGAAAAATTATCTTTTCGGTGAAAGATGTTTTTTTTTTTTTTAAATTCAAACTTTCGATGGTTAAATCAAAAAGAAAATTTCCTTCAGGGGGTTAAACCAAACAATCTTAAACTCTCATTGTTTTCATAGAATTTGAAGTTTTAAGTAGTGTTTTTTTAATAAAAGCAAATTCTCAGTGGTTAAAATAGGAAAAAAAAAAAAAAAAAAAAAAAAAAAAACTTCGGTTGTTGAACTGAAAAATAAAGACACGAATGATCTTTATGGTTTGGGGTAATTTGCACGTTTAGTCACTAACTTATTTTTGTTAACTTGGAAGGTCCCTACAGTTTGTTTTTGTTGCGCGTTTGGTCCTTGTCTTACCTAAAAAGACTATTTTGCCATTGATTTTTTAATTTATTTAAATAAGGTGGGGTAGGTAAGGTAAGGTAATGTGAGGTAGAAGTGGGGTTGACCGTTGGGGGTGTGTTTATTTAAATAAATCAAAAAATCAAGGGCAAAATAGCCTTTTTAGGTAAGACAAAGACCAAACACGCAACAAAAACAAAATATAAGGACCTTCTGAGTTAAAAAAAATAAGTTAGGGACCAAGAGCGCAAATTACCCCAAACCATAGGGACCATTCATGTAATTTACTCAAAAAAAAAGCCAAACTACACTGGTTTTTATGGAATTTTCCCTTTTTTAGGGTTAATGTCATAAAATGTGAATGAACTATTCGGATCACTGAACTTGTAATTTTGTTCCATTGAGGTCACTCTCCCCAATTTTAACAAGTTTCACTGATGAAACATGCTGATGTGGCATCCATGTGGCGCTAAGGTTTATTCTAGTATTAAACTCTTTATGTGGCTAAAAAAGGAATAGTTCATTTCATTTCCGTTTAATGTCCTAAACCCTGAGATAAAATTAAAACCCATGTCGGCGCCACGTCAGCACCCTTTGACGCCACATCAGCAATGTAACCGGTCAAACCAATTAAAATTAGGATACGTGGTTCCCATTTATAACATGGACACCTTATTTTATCATCTAAATCATGAAGAACATATATAATATGCAAAAGTTTTTGAAGCTAAAAGTAGGATACCTAAATCAGCTGTAATAAGTGCTTCCCCATCATAATTGGGTCCCGCAAGAACAGTTCCTGATGGTGAAATTATAACACTTCCACCAGCACAAACAACAGATTCTGGTGTAAGATCTTCTTCTGTTCCAGTAAACACATATTCTGGAGGAGGAGGATAATCTTTTCTTCTACAAAATTGATTTGCAGATAAAACAAAACACCCCCCTTCTAATGCAATATGTGTCATTGATGCTTGCCAAATTTCCCTTGAATCAGCTGTTGGTGCACAGTATATCTCAATTCCTATAAATGTATAAAAACCAACCATGTCAAAAACTCAAAATTTGGACCAAAACTGCACATCGGTGTAAACTGTAAACCACAGGGACCAAAACTGTAATTAACGCAAACTAAAAACTATAGAGACCAAAAGTGTAGTTAAACTAAAGTGACCATGTAATTCAGTCGTTTCCTCAATTGAAAACTACAGGGACTAAAAATGTAAATCATGTAAAATAAAAACTACAGGGACCAAAACTGTAATTAGTACAAACTAAAAACTATAAAGACCAAAAGTGTAATTAAACTAAAGAGACCAAGACCATGTAGTTCATTCGTTTCCCCGACTGAAAACTACAGGGACTAAAAATGTAAATCATGTAAAATAAAAACTACAGGGACCAAAACTGTAATTAATGCAAACTAAAAACTATAGAGACCAAAAGTGCAATTAAACTAAAGAGACCAAGACCATGTAGTTCATTCGTTTCCCCGACTGAAAACTACAGGGACTAAAAATGTAAATCATGTAAAATAAAAACTACAGGGACCAAAACTGTAATTAATGCAAACTAAAAACTATAGAGACCAAAAGTGTAATTAAACTAAAGAGACCAAGACCATGTAGTTCATTCATTTCCCCGATTGAAAACTACAGGGACTAAAAATGTAAATCATGTAAAATAAAAACTACAGGGACCAAAACTGTAATTAATGCAAACTAAAAACTATAGAGACCAAAAGTGTAATTAAACTAAAGAGACCAAGACCATGTAGTTCATTCATTTCCCCGATTGAAAACTACAGGGACTAAAAATGTAAATCATGTAAAATAAAAACTACAGGGACCAAAACTGTAATTAATGCAAACTAAAAACTATAGAGACCAAAAGTGTAATTAAACTAAAGAGACCAAGACCATGTAGTTCATTCATTTCCCCGATTGAAAACTACAGGGACTAAAAATGTAAATCATGTAAAATAAAAACTACAGGGACCAAAACTGTAATTATTGCATTTCCTGAAAATTTAGCAAGTTAGATGACTAGATCGAACCTTTAGCATACATTGCAGTCCTTAACAATGGCATTTTATTCTCCCAACAAATAGCCGCACCAATTTTCCCAATTTGAGTATCAAAAACAGGCACAGTTGACCCATCGCCAAATCCCCAAATTATCCTCTCCAAAGCCGTTGGCATTAGCTTCCTATGCTTCCCAAGGTAACCTCCTTGATTATCAAAAAACAAAACCGTACAATAAAGGGTATATCCGTCTTTTTCTATAACCCCCATCACCAAAAACACTTTATACTTCCCCGCCATTGCCCCCAATCGATCAACTTCCGGACCTAAATAATCCAAACAAAAACTTATTCACATAAAAAAAAAAAAAACCTTTAATTACAATAAAAGTACGTTCCTATGAGTAATCTGTAAATTTTCTATTAAGCAGGGACTATTTTTCTAATTTTTTTAAACACATGGACAGTTTTGTAAACAAAATGCGCAGAGACATTTTCTGTAGGAAGAGCTTTTGTGATTTATATTCTACACATGGACCAAACCTGCCAACATAAGAAACTATTATGGCCAAAGTCTATATATATATATAATAATGTGGTTTTACCAGGCACATTAATGGCTGAAGCATGATACTTGCGAAAATCTTCTTTTCCCTTAAGTGTTCGGTTTCCAATTGTGACCCCAAAATTTGAGCCTCGAGGGTATCCGCCTATGAATGCTTCCGGAAAGACAACTAACTGGGACCCATATGATGCGGCTTCGGATAATAGTCTTTCGGCTTTATCTGTAAATGCAAGAAATAGCAATGTACTTTCGGTTATTTGTTTACTATAGTTTCTTACTTTTGTTTTTTCTTATTACAATTTTGTAGTTTAAACATGCTACCCATTAATAGGAAATGTTACCTAAATAAATAAATAAAAAATCATTGTTTTTTTCTAAATGGTAAAATTGGTGTCCATTTAGCCAACCCCTTCTTCCCGATGGATATGCAAAAGTTTTAAATATATCTCAAAAATAAAATCATTATAGATCAAATTTTAAGTTATTGACTAATATAAAAACAAGTGTTAACATTTAAAAACCCAACTTTTAATCACTGAACACAGCTGTGAACGTAGAAAAGAATTACAGCTATATATGTAACATTATATTAGAGGTATATGGTTAATTATAGCAATATAAAATCATGTATACTGCAGTTTCTTAACCAAAATAAAGAGTTTCAACTTCATGTTTTTTTTCCATTAAGAACCCAAAAGATTTCTTGCAATTACAGAGGCTTACAAACAGATTATCTGAAGAACGCTAATGAACATAGTACATAAACGATCGAAAACATGCATGCAAGAACAAGTGTGCGATGAAAGAAATGAAACGAACCGAGGGTAGCAGGGGTATCATAGAAGATGGTGGAGGCCTGGATAACAGTTGCTCGAACGGTGGATGAAGAATCGGAAGAACTCATGTCAACTTCGCTGAACACAGCGGCATCGTTTCCTGTTGTCGAAACTAGCGCCATTGATTTTCCTCGATTCTTTTGTGTCGTTTACTAGAATTAAAAATCGAACTTTCAGAATTTAGCTACAGACTAAAAAGAGAGGTATGTTCAATGAAACTGGAAGAATCAACTCGATTAAATGTTTCGGAAGTTGAAAAGAAACATACCCTGATGTTGAATAGAGTTTGAGAATCCGTCTAGAATTCGCTGAAATCCCCAAATGAGATACTGGTAATCTGAGCGTTTCGATTCGTTAGAATCCTCTGTGTGAAGACAAGAAGAACCTGAGATTGTGGAGAAGCAATTTTGAGGAAAAAGAAACGTCTGGAAGGGAGGAGAGAAGCAATTTTGAGCACACACTCGGGTCACTCCTCACTCGTGAAAAACAATCTTGAATTGGGGTTTTTTATTGTCTTTGTAGTTGGCGCCTGGTGGCTTTTTACAAACGATTGACAAGGTCCAATTTGGTAGTTTATCGGGGTTTGTGAATCAAAATCAATTTTGTATCTTCAAACTTCAAAGCATTGAGAATGGTTAATAACTTAATACTATATAATTAGGAATAGACAATACGTACACATGATATTGATATTTTATATAAGTCTATTCATATCATAGGTAATTATTTATCAACCACACTTTTCAGTCGTACACAACGAATTATGTTTTATACAGTTATACATTACTATAAAACGGAGGTGCACCAGAATAATTCTATATTTCACTGTATGCATTACATGAGGTACATGGAGAATTTATACAAGTAGAGTACAACCGAAACCTACAAATACGGAGGCTACTAACGTAACTTGACTAGACTAGGTCTACAATTGAAAACATGAGTACACATGTGATAAATTATTTTTTACCGTTATTACCCCCCGGCAAGCTCATGTGCGGGACGAACTTGGAGCTTGGTACATAATGAACGGAACCGGTCTTTGTGAAGAGCTTTAGTAAATATATCCGCATGTTGGTCACCTGATGAGACATGACTAATGTGGAGTTCTTTTGCTTCAACCTTTTCTTTGACAAAATGAAAGTCAAGGGCAATATGCTTAGATCTGGTGCGAATAACTAGATTTTGAGTCATGAAGATCGTGCCAACATTGTCACAGAGGATTAGAGGAGCACAAGTAAGTGGCACATGAAGTTCAAGGAGTAGTTGCTGGAGCCAAATCAATTCAGCAGTTGTGTATGCCAATGCTCTGTATTCAGCTTCTGTACTTGAGCGAGCAACTACCTTTTGTTTACGGGAGGTCCAACTTATGAGATTTTTGCCATGATATATAGCAAATCCATATTGAGATCGACTATCATCAGCATCAGATAACCATCCAGCATCGGAAAAGGCTAGAAGAGAGGTTTTGGTAGTTGGAGAGAAATGTAAGCAATGAGTGATGGTGCCTTGTAGATAACGCAAGATCCTTTTTACGGCTTGCCAATGAAGAGTAGTGGGGGCATGCATATATTGGCAAACCCGATTGACCGCAAAAGTAATGTCTGGACGAGTGATGGTGGCGTATTGAAGCGAGCCGACAACTTGTCTGTAAAGTTTTGGATCAGCAAATGGGTCACCATAACAAGTAAGTTTGGAATTGGCATCAGCAGGAGTGGAGATGGGAGTGGCTGATGACATGTGACTCCGATCAAGAATATCACGAAGATATCCTTCTTGACTGAGTGTAAGGCCAGATGTAGTACGGGTGATTGTAATCCCCAAGAAATAATGAAGATCTCCCAAATCTTTGAGTGCAAATGTAGAGTGTAGTTGCTGAATGAATCGTTGTATGAGATGCACATATGTGCCTATGATGATGAGGTCGTCAACATACACAAGTATGTAAATAACACCCACGCTTGATTTGTGCACGGAGAGTGAGGTGTCTGAGTGGCACGCACGAAAGCCATGCGCTGTTAGATACGACTTAAGTTTGGTAAACCATGCTCTTGGCGCTTGTTTAAGGCCATAAAGAGCTTTAGTGAGGCGGCATACGTGTGTTGGTTTTGTATGGTCTTCAAAGCCTCTTGGCTGTCGCATGTAAACAGCTTCATGTAGATCACCATTGAGAAACGCATTATTGATATCTAGTTGTCGAATACACCAGCCCTTAGAAATAGCAAGAGATAAAACCAAACGAATGGTTGTAGGTTTGATAACCGGACTAAAGGTATCAAAGTAATCAACACCCGCCTCTTGACTAAACCCTTGAACAACCAATCGGGCCTTGTATCTTTCAATTGTGCCATCCGAGTGTTTCTTTATCCTGAAAAGCCATTTACAACCTACAAGATTGACATTAGGAGGACATGGGACAAGGGACCATGTCTTATTTCTCATAAGGGCATCATATTCAAGTTGCATAGCCTCTTGCCAACATTTGTGTTTTATAGCTTGACTAAAGTTACGGGGTTCATGAATCAGGGTTGTGGAGACAGAAGTGAAAGCCTTAGGTTTTAATGAATTTGTTTGAGCTCTTGTAACCATGTGATGTTGATTATTTGCGGCTTGGCGAAAATGGGAAGGGATAGAAGAAGATTGACGAGCACGAGAGCTGATTGTTGAGTGTTGATACCTAGGGCCTGTAGAGGGGGATGATGGAGTCGGAGATGGAGGGGACGAATTAGGGAGAGGAATAGTGGGGGGTGTATTTGTGAGAGTTGGGCAAGAGGGTATTGGTGGGATTTGGGCTACAAGGGTTGGGCCAATGTTAACAGACTTGAGCTGGGCGGGAGAGATAGTAGAAGTTGATTGGCTGGAAGACTGGGAATACGGAAATATTTCTTCATTGAAGATCACATGACGGGCAATGTACAGTCTTTTGGATGAGGGATGACAACACATGTAGCCTTTATGAGTGGGCTGTAGCCAATGAAAATACAAGAAAGTGAGCGGAAGTCGATTTTATAGGGATTATAGGGACGTAAGAAGGGATAACATAAGCACCCAAAAGTTTTAAGAGATGTATAATCAGGAATCTTAGAATAAAGTTTTTGGTATAGGGATAGGTAATTTAAACCAGGTGTAATGGTCCGATTATGCAAATATGTAGCCGTTTTAAAGGCATGTTCCCAAAATTCCTGTGGGAGGGATGATTGAGCTAAAAGTGTAAGACCTTTTTCAATGATGATGCGATTTCGGCGTTCAACCGCACCATTTTGCTCATGTGTGTGAGGGCATGAGACACGATGGAGGATGCCATGAGTGGTCAAGAAATTTGAAACATTTCGATATTCACCGCCCCAATCGGTTTGTAAGCTTTTGATGGGACGGTTGAATTGAGTTTGAATCATATTTCGAAATTGAATAAAGGTATCAAAAACTTGAGATTTATGGGACAAAAAGTAGATCCATATAAATTTGGTACAATCATCCATAAATAACACAAAATATCGTTTGCCATTTATTGAAAAATGTGGGGATGGTCCCCAAACATCTGAGTACATTAATTCAAAAGGTTGCAAAGAGGAAACATGTTTGTGAGTAAAAGGAAGCCGATGACTCTTGCCTAACTGACAGGGTTCACAAACATTAGGGAAGTGCTGTGAAGAAATAGGAAGTTTATATCGAGACAAAAGTTGTTTAAGTAACGGAGCATGAGGGTGAGCTAGCCGTTTGTGCCATCCATGGAGAGTGGTGCGAACTCCAGAAAGAGCTATGGTACATTTGGCTTTATTGGTGAAGTGAGGGATGCGATACAGGCCCTGATCAACGTCCCCTTGAAGGAGTGTGTGTCCCTGCAAAGACTTGACATTACAGTGAGAGGGCTAGAACTCTATATACACATTATTGTCAGATGTTAGTTTTGAGACACTAATGAGATTTTTAGTAAGCCGAGGGACCACAAGGACAGATGGAAAGTTAAGTTGATGCAAATATGATGAACCAAGATGAGAAATAGGAAGATCATTACCATTTCCAACTTGTAGTTTGTCGGTCCCATTGTATGGCTCAGTGATTTGAAGCTTCTGAATGTCGGGTGTAACATGATCTGTGGCACCTGTGTCAAAGTACCAGGCTGGATCAACAACGGAAGATGGACTGTGGTGTTGAACAAAGTTTGCTTGATGAGAGGTGGACCGAGGATTGGGCCTTCTGGAAGGATAATCGGTTTGGTTGGTGCGTTGCCAACAATCAATTGCTTCGTGTCCCGGTTTGTTACATAACTGGCATTGAGGACGTGAGCGTTTACGATTGTCATTGGATCGATTTCCCGAAGCCGATGAAGTGGAGAAATTAGAGCTGGAAGTAGACCTCTGTGATCGATTGACATTGAGTGCAATTGGATTAGTGACAATAGGTGATGGTGCTGAGTTTTGGGCAGCCTGGCGGGTTATTTCCTGTTCCAAGCGGGGCTCTTCTTGAAGCAGCATACCCACTAGATCATCGACAGAGTCATCATTGTTATGGATCATGTAAGCAGAAATAAAAGGACCATAAGATGAATCAAGACCCGAAAGAATGTGTCCAATTAGGTTTTCATTTGATATTGGGTATGAATTTTCAGCAAGAGAGTCAGCTATGGCCCGTTTACGCTCAACATACTCAAGCATCGAAGAGGAACCCTTTGAAATTGACTGAAGATCGGCCTTCATAGTCATGCGACGAGCCCGAGTTTGGGCCTGAAATGTCTTGTCAATGGCTAACCAGGCTTGTTGAGAGGATGAGCACCTGACGACGATTGCAAGCGCCTTCTCCGAGAGGGTAGACTTGATCCAGAGAAGTACAAAACTATCACGCTTCTTCCATAGAGTATACTCAGGATTGGGACTGGAAGTGGTAACCCCTTCACCATTGGTGGTAGAAATAGTTACAGGAGGTGGATTGGGAGAAAGAACGAAGTCAGCTAGGTCAAAGCTGGTTAGGGCAGAGAGGATTGTGGAACGCCATAACGAGTAATTTTCCCTTTCAAGTTTAATGCTGATTGAAGGGATCTGGAAGTTGAGGGGTGCTGAGTTGGTAGTGAGGCCAAGAAGAAGCGAGTTGGTAGCCATGGAGGATTGATTCAAGAGGTTTTGGTGGGGCTCTGATACCATATAAAGCAGAGGTGCACCAGAATAATTCTATATTTCACTGTATGCATTACATGAGGTACATGGAGAATTTATACAAGTAGAGTACAACCGAAACCTACAAATATGGAGGCTACTAACTTAACTTGACTAGACTAGGTCTACAATTGAAAACATGAGTACACATGTGATAAATTATTTTTGACCGTTATTAATTACAATCATCTGAGACATAAAATATTATGTATGGATAAAAAGTATTGTGTATAAATAACTACCACAAAATTTAAATAATATTAAACATTAGTTTTCATTAAAGGAAACAAAAAAAAAATTGGATAATCTTTCTTTTCCCTTTTCTCCAATTCTTTTCAATTTGGAAGGACAATTTATAAAGAAAATGGGTATAAATCTTTATTTCATTTCTCTTATTTTCCTTTCAATAACTAAAGTAAAGAACAATGATTTTTTTTAACAATCCTTCAAATTCTTTTTATTTCTCTCCTTGAATGAAACTCTTGAGCAATGTGTTAAGGACAAAATTGGTTAATAAAAAGAGATGGTTACA